TTCTTCTTTTTCTTCTTCTTCTTCTTCTTCTTCTTCTTCTTCTTCTTTTGATATTTTGAGGCAATGTCTCTATAGCCCTGGCTGTCCTAGAACTCACCGTGTAGACCAGGCTGGCCTCAAACTCAGAAATCCACCTCCTCCTAAGTGCTGGGATAAAGGCATGTACCACCAAGCCTAAGATTTTTCTTTAATGTGAACAAAGTTTATACATATTTGGTCCCTTAGAATTTAAATCTAAAACTTAACTTCATTTTTCATATGTTTGAACAGACTGGCTTCAAAATATAGATCCTCCTACCTCAACCTCCCCTGATAACTTATGTTCTAGTTCTGGGCAAATCACAGCTTTTTGCATAGTTAGTGCCTTTATCTTAAATAGGCTTTTTGTTTGGTTTTTGTTTTTGTTTTTCGAGACATGGTTTCTCTGTGTAGCTTTGGAGCCTATCCTGGCATTCTGGAGACCAGGCTGGCCTCAAACTCACAGGGATCCACCTGCCTCTGCCTCCTGAGTGCTGGGATTAAAAGCGTGTGCCACCAACAGCCGGCTTAAATAGGCCTTTTTGTTGCTTTGTTGTTGTATTTTTAAGACAAGGTCTCACTTTGTAGTCCTGACAGTCTTAGAGCTGAAGCTAGACTAGAACCTATGATGACCTTTTTGTGTCAGTCTCAAGTACTGTGGTTAAAGGCATGAGTCACTCCACCTAGCACCACACTTTTTTGTTATTGTTTATTGTTTTTATCATACTGGGGAGACCTTGCATACGGTAAGCAAGCACTAATCTGTGTCCCAAGCCTCCCTTTTACCTTTTATTTTGAGACTGACTCTCACTAGTTGTCCAGAATGACCTGAATTTTGTATTCTCTTGCCTCAGCTTCCCTAGAAGCTAGGACTGTAAGCCTGGGCCATGAGTTTCAGCTGGAAGGTTTTTTTTTTCAAGAAAGTTAAATCATAGAACAATTCTTTGAGACTTTACAATTTTTGTAAACTTCTATATAAATAACTGTTACTATTTCCTTAAAAACTTGAATAGTTACAACTTTCTTAGGATAGTATTGAGTTTTTGAAAAAGGGCTTGTCCAGCCTGCTTACTGATTTCCTTTCTCCTGCAGGCAAATAAAGAATGAAGTCCTAATAGCGTTTAGCCTTTCTGCACTTCATATTAATTACTTGGTTTTTAAGTGCAATTAAGTTATATCATGAAAGGCTGAAATTCTAACATATTTTAAATTGTTGGATTTAACACGTGTTGAGGAAGTATTGCTGACAAACACTTCCATTCTTGTAAGGCTAAAGCTTCAGAAGTGTCACCAGACAGTTCTGTGTAGGATTAAGTCTCCCAAAAGATACTGTGTAGATTAAGCTGTAAAATAAGATCAGCTAACAATGTAGATGAAACCTTTGAGTGATGGGCTTTGAGGGCTACAAGCAAGATAGAAAGGGTAAAAGCAAGTAGTGTTACATTTGGATTTAATTTGGGTTAGTGGGCTCCTGTATGCTACTGGAGTTAGACTGGCAATCACTGGGCAAGACATTCTACTTCATGTTTAAATAACTTATTTATAACTCCCTGTGTCTCCTTAACTATGTTCAATCTTAAAAATCACTTTAATTAGTTAAAGTGGCTCAACTAGATAAAGTGTTCAAGAGCCTCTAAGCCCCTTCTAGTGCTTTCCATGTCTTGGGTGCCAGATTATTTGGATCTTGTGTTAGGTACAGCAGAACTGCACTTGGAATAGTTTCCCAGTTCATTAAGTACTACATTTAACAGTTGAGTGGCAAGAGTACTCTAAACAGGTGCTACTTGATGGCATGATCACATCATACTCTGAAATATACATTTTTTTAATAATTAGTTTGCAGTTTTTTTGTTTTGTTTTATCAGCAATGATGGATTTTTGACAAAAACCAGTCCCACTTGAAGGTTTTTAAAGTCTTTTTTTACGGTGCTGTGGGGCAAACAATGTGCACGATAGGCAATTGCTGTTGGCTGGCATAGTTGGTTTACATTTAAGCACAGCATTCATAAATTTAACTAGCATTGTTCTCAGTAACTTTAAGCTGATTCAACCTGGTATGTATAATGGCTCTTATAAAACTAGCTGGATTCATTCTAAGTGCAAGTTTCTACCCATGACTTTAGATAACCTGCATTTTTTTCCTAGGGCTACAGCTTCTGTAGTCTTATAGTTAACTTGCTGGTGTATACATGTCATGCTAGATGATCAGTGGGAATGCAGGTTTTTATGAACCATTGTTACCCCATTTTGTGATAAATTACTGCCATTTGCAGCAGCAGCTTAGTCATAGGCCTGTCTGTTCAAGAAAGTCATACAATTTTAGTAACTGGGTTTTGGGCAAATTAGGATAATGTAAAGCAGAACAGTGTCTAGCTGATGGTATGCAATAAAATTTTATCCATTAATAGTAGCAGTAATATCAACAGCAGGAACAGCAGTATAGCAAATTGAATAGAATTCCCAAAGATATTCAAATCTTACTCAAAGAACTTGTCAGTGTGTTACTTATTGTGGTAAAGGGGATTTACATAGGTGATTAAGGATCTTAAGATGGGGTAATGGCTTGCTCTATTATAAAAATATCTGGGGCATGGTAATATCTAAAGGAAAATTTTTGTGTAGCTCAAGACCCAGGAGGCTTCATCTGACAAAGGCCTTGTGTATTGTCACACAATAGAAAAGCAGAAGGGCAAATGAACATGTGTACAGAGAAAGGAGGTACAGACTGCCTTGATAACTAGCTTGTTCTTGTGAATGAAGCAGCCATTCATGAGGGTCCTGTCCCATGACCCAAACACCTTACTAGATCTCCCCTCTTAATCTTACCACTTTGAGGACTGAACTTGAATGTGAGTTCTAGTATGAATAAACCACATTCAGGTTTAACAGATTATCCATTTAAGTCCAGTGTCATCAAAAGAGTGCTTTTAAAGATGTTCTATGTGATTAGTGTTTTGTCTGCATGTATTTATACCACATGCTTGCCTACCTAGTGCCTGCAGAAGTCAGAAGAGTATCAGATTGCTGGAACTGGAGTAAAAGATGGTTGTGAGCCACTGTGTGAGTGCTAGGAACTGAGCACGGATCCTCCCCAAGACCATCAAGTGCAGAGCTGGAGAGATGGCTCAGAGATTAAGAGCACTGGCTGCTCTTCCAGAGGTCCTGAATTGATTCCCAGCAACCACATGGTGGCTCACAGCCATCTGTAATGAGATTTGGCGTGACATGCAGGCTGAACAGAGTATACATAATAAATAAATTTAAAAAAAGAAAGACCATAAGTGCTCTTAACTGCTGAGCCATCTCTCAACAAGCCTCACAACAAGAATACTTGTAAAAAAGGCAAGGGTCAAAGAAAAATTGAGAAGATGCTACTGGCTCCAAAGATAGATGTTGAAATCACTAGCTAAGGAATACAGGCAGCCACCAGAAGCCAGAAAATAAAAGGAAATATTCCTATTTAGAGCTTTGAGGGAAACAGCCATGTCAATGAATGATTTTTAAGACTGGCCTCCAGAACCAAAAGATAGCACACTACTAAGATAGTTTGT